GAGGGCTTATATGCATCAATTACAGTCTAGGGGCTTAATAGCGATTCTGGGGTCGGTTCAGGGGCTTAACTTATGGTTTTGCCAAAAAAATGGAAATCAATCTCCGACACGAAATCAATCCCAGATCTAGAAGATGAAAAATAAATAATCAAATTAAGTATTCAAACCAATATTCAATCCATGAACAGCATTTGAAAAGTTGTTCAAAAATAAACGTGCGTCTTCTGCTTGGTGTGCCTTTTAAGGAAGCATAAACCTCATTCAATGTCATTTATTTATTTAAAAAACGAAAGTAATCATTTTTTTAAAAATAAAGGAAAACTTTTGACGAATTTTTGTTTTCTTTTAATAGAAGTGAGTATATATTAATAATAAAAATATTGCAAGGTGGTTACGGTATCCTATATAAGTAGTATAAAAATTCTCATATTGTGCTTTAATGGTGATTATTGTTGTTTAAAAAAGCAATCGATAAAATGGAATTCTGAATAAAAGGTCAAATTTTTCTTAGATTAGATACTAACTTATTAATCTAATCATTTTCTTAAAAAAAAATAGTATAAAAAAAAATAAAGAAACATAAGTTATTGCATAACTTATAATTACATTTTAAATTAATTTTGTTAAAATGTTTAAAGAGTTAACAATCAAATATTTATATGATTATTATAGCGAAACTTGAACTTAAAGATATAAATTATTAAGGATTTTTTAAGGGTATTTTTTTGTAATAAATTTATATAGAAAAATATAAAATAAATATTAATTTTAATATTAATATTTTATAAATAAATTTAATTAGATAATTGATAGATTAAGTATTATTTTTTATTTAAAAAAATTTTTAACCTATATCTTAAAAAACCCAATAATTAAATATCTTTTTAGTATAATTTATTTAGCAAGAAGATGTTTCAATGTGATTATAAAAATAGCAACAAGACTATAGGGTGTAAAATAATTAATTTTTTCACTTTTCCAGCTATTAAATTTTCGTAGAAACACTTCAGTTCAAAAAAAAAAGAAAGAAAATTCATAGTAACACAGCAGCATTCCATTATACATTCTAGCTCAAGAACAAAGAATGAATCTAGTCGGGTTCCATCAAATCCACCCAAACCAGATCCACTACCCCTCTCCATTGTACTTCACCAAAAAAACAATCGGCAGCCAAGTACACAACAATGCAACAAATTCCCAAGAAAGCAACCTGTTGCAACCGCCCTCTTTTTTCGTTTTTTTTTTTTTATCTGTTTTGTTTTGTTTTTTCCACAGAAAAAGATACAGAAAAAAGCGGTAATTGTAAACATAATAAAGACAAAAACAAAAAGCAGAAGAATAGATTATCAATATAAAATTTAAAAAATAAAATAAAAATAAAAACTCCTTTGACCTCAAAAAACGAAATTCACAACCTAAAATCCTATTTTCTTAACTTAATTTTTTTTTATTTTGTCTTTTTAAGGTATATATTAAAAATATAATATACATTTTTTTGTAATTAATTTTTATTAAAAATATAAATACTAATTTTATTTTAATTAATTAACTAATTAAATTCATTTATATATCTGTAATATTAAAGTATATGCCAATTTTTATAGTTTTTTATATAAATTAATTAAAAAAATATTTATTATACTTTAATTTATATTCTTAGAATACATATTAAATAAATAAAAAAAAATCCTAATTTTTTAAGAGAGAGACGCAGGAGGAACATGTGACGAATTTAAAGAATGAAACGTCAAAGCATAAAAGCAAGACAAAAGGAAGACGGAGAAAAGCCGCCTTTGGCATTAATTCCTGCATGAATTTGATCCCAGTACTCGTGGTAAATACCAATAGCTTTGAGTGTACGATGCACAATTATTTCTATATTTAAAACGCAAACCAACAAGGTCTTACTCTGTGCACTTGGGTTTTTAAATCCAATTACTTTAGTTAACGTATAAGTGCATTTCTTAATTTTAGAATAATGGTTTAAATCTGACTTATTATGAATTTGTTAAAAAAAAAGAAGAAGGTCTTATTCTGCAATAGGCATTTAATTCGCATTTTTTTATACTAATCTCTGGTATTTATTTTAGAAATTTTTTAACATATATTTTTAAAATATAAATTAAATATAATTAATTATAATATTAATAATTAATTTTATATAAAATTCAAATAAAATATAAAAATATAATATAATATAAAATTTATACTTAAAATTTATAAAAAAATTATAAATTTGATATAAAAATTTATGTAAATTTAATTTAAAATATTTTAATTAATAAATTTAACCTGTGATTTTAGAGTATAAATTAAATAAACTCTTTATTATAAAAGAAAATTTCTTTTAATATTTTTTATTTATAAAATTTAAATTTAAAAGTTTATTTTAAAAAAATTGAGGTTGTTCAACTCAAATTAAGAGATAGCTTGCATTTTATACCTTTAACATAATAAGCATGCATAATTCCTCTCCTTCTTTAATTCGTGCATGCGGTTAAACGGCCTTTCATATGCTTTCCGTGGGTACTAAAGTTTTTCAGAGATCACCTTTTTTGGTATTTTAATTTCAATTTTTTTATTATTTTAAAAATATATAAAATAATAATTAAAATAAATATAAAATACTCTGTTTCAAAATATTATTATTTTTTTATTTTAAATTTTTCATAAATTAATTATTATTTTTTTATTTTTTAATATAAATAAATATTTTTTTACTTGAACCCTTTATTATTTATTTATTTTAATTAATTATCTAATCACAAATTTTTTTTAAATATTATAAATAAATATAATTATTGAGTTTAAATCTC